GAGGGAGAGTGAGTTGGGGGGCTCCAAGGGGCTACGGATATCGCAGCCAGGCGCGCCCCGCCCGACCCCAGAAACCTGCCTGGGCTGGATGGGCCGCCACACTACTCCCGCCCCTTCTCCTCCCGGCCCCTGGCCCCTAAGAGAGCCCACTCCAGGTCCGGTTCCGGAGGCGGTCCAGGCCCTGGAGGCAGCCCCTGGCCTATTGCTTTATTTAATTGGTGTGTGTGTGTGTGTGTGTGTGTGTGTGTGTGTGTGAGAGAGAGAGAGAGAGAGAGAGAGAGAGAGAGAGAGAGAGAGAGAGGAGACTGTGCGGTTCTGCAGAAGGGTGGCCCCTCAGTCCTCTGGGCCGTGCTGGGCCCTGGAAGCCAGCCGCCACCTGGGTCTCCGGATGGAAAGCGCCTTTGATCGGCTCTCCTGGGTGGGTGTGGGGCGGGGGCAGGCAGGAGAGGAGGAGGGAAGGGTCCTTGCGGCCGCCCTCTTCTGAAGACTTGGAGTGGGATTTAGGCGAAATCCAGCCAACTTTCTGGTTCCCCCGCCAGGCTCACACTCCCAGGTGGGCTCCCGAGGCCCGAGGGCTCCACTCCCGTGTGGGCTGAGGTGTCTGGAGGAGCTGCTATTGGGCCTTGGCTCCCAGGACAGGGGGGCCAGGCAGGTCCCTGAGATCTGGGTCTCCCCACCGGGATGGGGCTCTGGGTGGGGCCCTCATTCCCTGCAGAGCTGCCAGAGGCAATTCCTGGGCCGTCTGAGAGCCAGGGAGTTGATGGGGTCCCAAATCCCGGCCTGTCCACCCTTCCCTGACACCTGGCAGGGAAGGGTCTTACCAGGGACAGCTGGCCCTGGCCAGATGCCCCCCGGACTGGCTGCTCAGTGTTCCTTGGGACCTGCGGGCCACAGAGTCCCAGACTGAATCCTTGGCCAGAACCAGGCCACCTCAGAGTGACTCTGGCCACACCTACCTCCATGGCCACCTTTCCCAAAGGCCACTGTGGCCTGAGAAACCCACACTGATACCTGCAGTGCTGGGTCAAAGGCCCAGAGGGAAGTCTTTAAAAATAAAAATGTGCAACCTACCACTTCTTTTAGGTAGCTGAGGGGAACTGGCCAGGGAGTGAGCTACTGCCCCCAGAAAGGACAGTCAGGTGGACAGCGGTGGCCACAGGAGGTCCAGGGCCACATACACATCCCAGGCCACACCAAACTGTGACCAATGACAAAAACCTATTGGAAGTTGGGCCTGGGAGATCCTTGACCCTCCACTCTTACAGGGGAATAGCAGTAACATATCCTATATAATAAAAGCCTAATATGCAAATTGTTCGACTGGGAGTTCAACCGCTCACTATGACGTGTACTGACCACCAGGGAGCAGCATGGAACATGGCGGGTGTTGGCCACCAACCCCCCCATGGGCCTCAATGAGAGTGGGACCACAGTGGGATGGTGGAGCAGATGAGGGGGTGGTGCCAGGTCAAGGGAGGGTGCCAGGTGGGGCTGTGAGGCTGCGGGTATAAGCTGGGGCCTGATCTCCGCAGGCCACCCCAAGGGACCCCACCCATGCACGAATTCATGCACCGGGCCTCTAGTTGGGTTATAACTGGGGACTGGTTAGTGGGCAGCCACTTCCAGGTGCATAACCTCATTTAATTTTCTTAACCCCTCAGTCTGGAAGGTAGTAACATCCCAGCCCTAGAGACAAACAGAGTCTCAGAGATGGTTAATAACTCCCTAAGTCATACAGTTGGCAAGTGTGGAATTTGAACTCACTTCTGACTTCAAAGCTATTCATGATCTCCTTCAGCTGCCCCACGTGACTTCATCCATGATTTAGTTCCAAACCTACCCCTGCTTCGAGTTTTCATCATCTCCAGTGATCATGGTCTAAATCAGTGATGGTGAACCTATGACACGCGAACTCATTTTTTTGGTTGATTTTTTTTTTGTTAAATGGCATTTAAATATATAAAATAAATATCAAAAATATAAGTCTTTGTGTTACTATGGTTGCAAATATCAAAAAATTTCTATATGTGGCACGGCACCAGAGTTAAGTTAGGGTTTTTCAAAACGCTGACACGCCGAGCTCAAAAGGTTCGCCATCACTGGTCTGAGTCATAGATGCAGAGCAGTGACAACTAGGCTTAGACAACTAGTTACTGCCAGAAACCCTGGTCATTAGGCATTGTTTTCATGAGTTTTATCCCAACAACAGGAGGCACAATGGAAAGGTGGAGTCTATTTCTGATGAGGCTATTGGTTACCAGCCAGGAGCATTCCCTCTCCCACATCACGAGGCTTGGAAGGAACAAAGTGGGGTTTCCTGGGTGCAAACCTACTGAATGAATGCCTGAGCATCGGAATGGGCTTTTTGGACCCCTCCCCAGGGGTCTTCCCACCAAAGTTGGAGGACTGCACCTATTCAACTTGGGTAAAGTCAAGGGACTCAGCTAGGCTCCCTGACGGCAGGGAACATCTTTCTTTCTTTGTTTTATCCACTTACTAGAGCTACAAATGCTCATTAGGGAAAGGACGAAAATGGGATATTACAGAAAACACCTAATTTAAGGAAGCAGCCATTTACCCAGAGTCTGTTTGTCTCTGTATAAGGACCTGGGCAGGACCCAGGACACATCCTTCACCAAGGAACCTCATTGGGCCCCAGGCGGGGCTCAGGGTTGGTGCCGTTGACCAAGGTCCCTCCATGTTCCAAGCCCTTGAAGTAACCAACGTCAATAAAGAAAGAGCCAAGCCATAACCCGGTTCTGCTTTTTTGTTATGCGCAGTACTCCCCCGCCCCCCTTGCGACTGGATTAAAATTCTGTGGGCATCCATCCAGAAAAACCATGACAGGTTTCTGAGAGGACGCAGTGGAGGATGGAAGCTGGGGATGGGGATTTCAGACAAGCAGCTGCTGCCCCCAGAGACACGAAAGCTGTGTCCACGGGCAAAGGAAGGAGAGAGCTCAGTCAATTATGTGGATAATCTGAGACAAGCCTGTATGACACAGCGCA